TGAATTTATAAAGTCAACGAGGGCTCAAAATAGTGGTATTGGAAAAGGGATGGATAAGTAACCTATGTTGATTCAAAGGCCTTGCTGTAATGACCTGATTTAGGAAACAGTTACAATTTGATGCACTTTGATAATCTTTCCATTCAGTGTTCTAGGGCTGGTGTCTTTATTTATGTTTATTGTACATTGTGATCATTATTGATAAACTCCTAGACTTAGATAACATGGGATGGAAGAAACTGTGTTTTTTATGGAAACTAAAGGTCAAACACAAATAAAGATCTAGACTCACTGCCATTAATGTAAAGTGGATTTGGGCTTGTGTAATACAGAGGTTAGCTATGTCTTTGTAACCCAGACCAAACATAGAACACTGACAAACACAGCTCAATATCTCACGAAGCACTCTTTGAAAAGAATAAGTAGTTTACAAAGTACTTCTCTTATTCCCTTCTCCCAATTACCATGTGAAGTCAAATAACATATGCCCTTTTTACAGATATGGAAGTTTAAGTTTAGAAAAGCTAATAATTTGCCTGAGATCACTTGATTAGCAAGTGTCAGAAAATCTTGAACCCAAGACCTGTACTCTACCACATATGGCTGTACTTTCCTCAAATAAAGAGCTATTTTATGTTGATTACTCTATAGCATTTCTACTGTATTCTACTCCAGTATGCAAGTATCACCAATGGGTTTGGAGACTAAGCAAAATTTGGGTCCAATACTGTAGGCTATTAGATTGTAGATTAGAGAAACTGTCATTTTCACCTGTGTGTTTTTTATTCATTTTTAAGGGTCCCTTAATACAAGCTACTTAGCTTTCATTAATTATATTTCTCTTACAATATTTATAATTCAAATTTACCAACATTACTTTTCATGCTCATAGTATCTTCCAGCTGCCTCTGATTTTTAATGCAGTTAGCTAAGAGAACACAATGGCTCTGCTACAGATCCAGGGGAAAGGAAATACAAGAAGCTACACAGTTTCTGAATTTTTCATTCCTCATGGTTCAATTCTCATGTGTCATATGTGGAACTCATTTTGTGTTTGTTAGGCTTCATGGCCTGATGCTTGTTTTTTTTTTTCTGCTAGTCTAATTCACCGTTTAAATCAACTGCTTAAGTTCTCTTCTTGGTAAACGTGAAGGGAAGAGGAGATATTTCATGCACCTACAGCATCCCTCCCCCAAACCCCTGCCAAATCTATGACTCTGACTCTGCATTATCCTTCCCCAGAAGGAGAGCATAATTTCATTATCCATGAATCATCACCTCTTGGATTGTAACATCATTGTCAGAGAGCCTAATGGAACCCGTGTTCAGCTGGCTGCAATGGGGAGGGAGGAAGAGGGGAGAGAGCTCTGGGGCAAAGCACAGGTCACTGGCATGACTGACAAACTGGAGAGTCCTGCAGCCGGAAGGGGACGCCTCCCTCATGTGATAGTCAGACATTCTTACTGACTAGTGAATAGCTGATGCTGATTCTTTCAATGTTAATACTGAAGTTTATTTTTCCCCAACCTAAATTACATCATATTTCAGTATCCTGCTGATGGGAAACGTTAACCCATTTAATGAAAAAATATATATGTGGCCAACATAGATGAATATGAATGCTTTAAAATAATTCTTATTTATTCTTATTACATTACAACTTGTTCATCATCTTTGGGCACTTATTTCAAGTCCTCAGTACTAGTTCTATGGCCTCTGTTTGGGCATTACTAGATAAGTAACTATGCAAACAATAACTTAAAAAAACACTATAACTCAATTTCCCAGGGAGATGAACTAAATAAATTCCAATATGATTCACAGATCAAAAGCTATATGTCTCGTCAACCACGTTTCTGTAAGGATTCAGGACTTAAAAACTGTATAAAACGTGTGAATAGCTGTGGTTAGTCTAAGCCGCCACTGGAGGTCACTCCTGCTCCACAGAAATGCAGTTTATTGCCGGTTGTCTACTCTTAGGTAGTTGATTCACTAAATCAAGGAAAAAATGGTTTCAGTTCTTTGAAAAGATGTAATGTCAACATCCTTGGAAAATGTAAACTAATTTAAAAGGAATATATCTTGCATAAGTACTTCCCAGAAGACCGTGACACTGGGACTATTAACTTCATGCTGCGGTAGCACTGTGGGTACTGGGGCTATAAAAATGGGGGCCAAACCCATGCAGTTCAGAGACTAAATTGCATCCTCTCTCTGACAAAGCATTCAAAGCACTGACTGAGCCCATCCGCCTCCATGTGTCTCTGCTGTGCAGTTCAACAGGTTAGGCTGTTTATTGAACTGTTGTCATCTTTGAGGAAATTTGCACTAGAAAATGGAATATCAATGATATCTCTCAAATATGCAATGAGTTTGAAAAAGTCAAGAAAACAGATTTATGATCTGAAGTCCAGAAAGTGCCCTGGGGTTGGGGAGGGCAACAACTTTTGAGGAGGAGAACATTCTCCAGGTGGCTTTGCTAAATTTGTGGTGGTGAACAAGTTATTGTCTTACTGACAAGAATTAAATATTTGAGCTCAGAAGAGATGAAGAACTAGAGAAGCTTCATTCCCCAAAAGGGGAGATCTTTTTTTAAAAAAAATTTGTAATTTCATGTTCTGAATCAAAATGAGTTTTACTCTAAGGGATTTTATTGTGGTTCTTATTCATTATAAAATTCATAAAGAATTAAAGTTACACTATAAAAAAAATGACTAGCCCCTAAAATGCTGGTCATTCATTCCATCTTACCCACCAAGTGGCTTTGAATTTTAGGAACACTTTCCAATACAGCACATATATTTTGTATATACTAGTGGTACCAGAGCACTGAGAATTTGCAAGAATTCAAAAATCTAAGTATAAATATGTCTTGCTTAAATTTATTTGGTATCCATGACAAATGAGGCAGCAGGTCAAGTCAAAGAATAGAAATGAGCTTTTTCACTTTAACACTGCATTTAATTAACAGTCATCTTTAGTACAGATAAAAATGAGTCTGACCAAAGAAAATTTCTTTTTTAGATGGAATATGTATTTACTGACATTTTATGAAAAATGTAAACTTACAACTTCAGTGAAAAACATCACAGTAGGCTCAGTCATCCAGTTCATAGTACTGTAAGGAAGTGTCTGCATTATTAATCCATTGGGACTCTGTGACAATTTGCCATTAATAAATGTATAGTCAACAATTCTTCATGGGTAAATATACTGTAGCTATGATGCTTTTCTGAACTGCCATCTATTTTCAAATTTAATTAAAACCAAAGTCCACTTTAAGTGTTCCTTTTTCTTTATTGCTTATAAAAGTGTGATTTTTATAAACCGGCTTCCTTGCAATTATATTTCATGGTGACTTGCCTAGATTTTTGCCTGTCAGCAAATTAAAAGCCCCCAGACTATATAAAAATGCTGGTAAAAATAGCCATTCACTTTTGCTTTTTTTTGCTGCGGCGATTATGTTTTGAAAGAACAGGGACATGGTTTGGCAAGCCAAATGAAATGAAACAGACTTAACGTTGCAATTCCTGATTTTTACTACTGTAATTGAATTGTTCATTTTGGAGGATGAAAGAGGATACAGGCTAAAGACATTTTTCTCAAATCTTAATGAACTGTGGTCAAAGTTACTTAAATCCAGAAGCTATGATATTTGAGCTGCAGTCAATAAACTTTCACCTACGACATAAAACCGCGCATGCAGCTTGCACAGTGCCAACAGGGTCGGTACAGAATCATACTGATGAATGCGTTCACAATACAGATGAGCATAGGGACACCGTAACATCAGCAATAGAAAAGCAAAGCCGAGTGCCATAGGGTTGGTCTTCTCCCTCTAAGGTTTACTTGGTACATTCAGTGAGGTGTTACCAAAAGCATCCTTTTGACTGAGGCTCTTGGTGGAAAGCATGTCTTGGAATGTGTTCTCTTTACACATCTGAATGAAGTGTCAGTCGTTAGGGGACTCGTGTGTGTGCAGGACACTTAATGGAACACAACAGGACAGCCTGACAAAGCCCAAACAGAGAACAGAGAGCGCTCATGATTCCACTCCCCCCATTAGGGCCCCCAGAAGAGCTGAAATGAGAAATTCTGGGAAGCTCCCAACCACATGCCTAGAGCAAGCTGCCTTCCCATGTGCAAGCCTGGTCTCTGAAAAGTCCCTGATGTGAGGAGCGGTGGGGAAATCTGCCTCCTCACATTTGCTTCCTGGCCACTTAGTGAAGGGGCTTATTTTGGAAACGGAGAGGCTGGAAGAAAAGGACAGGGAAGCCTCTGGTCTGATGTCACAGGGGTGGGTTTCAGCGACAAGCTCTCAGGTGGGAAACTTTGTGTGTGTACCATCTCCTCACATTTTGCGCTTGTCTCCCCGCAGCATTTTAACCCTTCAGCACTTTCCCCTAGACTTGCCTCAGCACCATCCAGACGCCTCTGAAACCGGCTGGTGGTGCTGCGTTTACCCAGCACCAGCCTTTGGTAGCTCCCTGCGGTTTTCTTTTGGAGCCAGGCATTGCTTCAAGGCTCGGCCTCTAAACGTTCCTGTCCTGGGCATCCTCCTGGAATCGGCTCAAGGTCCAAGTACCTGGGGTCATCCCCTTCTCCCTGGATTTGCCAACAAACTGCACACCTCCCAGAACTGTGCATCTGGGTCTAGCAGAATAACAGCAGATGTGGAGGATTAATTGTAAAAGGGAAGTTTTATCTGAAAACAGTGTGACATGAATGGAATCAATAAAGGGCCTGACACAATAGGCATTATGTTAAACCACAGTTCAAGCTGCACATTGATCGTGGTATTTAAGTTTCAATGGGCGCCTTATGCAGGAGGGGAAAATGACCAGTGTGATGAATGTACTCAAGCGGACAGGGGAGGACCTTGCCAGCAGAGGGAGAGGGAATGGGAGGGGGCACCACGTTCCCTTTATAGTCACCGGAGTTCAGTGAAGCACCACTTATTGCCCAGCTTTTATGAGCGCTTTTATCGCAAGGGTTCATACCTCACACTCCCTGGAGCCCGATTTGTTATAGGTGCAGGGTCCCGTCCCATTCAGCAGCATCTCGCTGGTCTCGGTGTTGGTGGGTTTGTAATCTACATAAAACTCCTGGGTGCTGGGATTCATCTGCTTGAGGGACTGTCTTTTCTTCTTCCTGTGCCTTCGCATGAGGGAGCGCTGCTGCAGCTGCTTCATGCTGGCCGGGTACCGCTTCCAGGACACGTAGATCACCAGCAGGATGACGAGCACGGACAGGAACAGGGCCACGCTCCCTGCGATGATTTTATGGAAAGAGATGTGCTCCGTGTCAGCATCGGTCTCTGGGCTGGGCTCCGTGGCCCCCACCGTGGGGGGCGGAGGGGGCTTGCTCTCGTGCTTCGGCCTGGGGAGCTTGGGCTTGAACGTGGGCTTGGGGAGCGCCCTGGCCAGATCAAATCTCTCCGTGGTACTTTTGCCACAGATGCTGTAGTTCTTGACGGCATCGATCACATTGACTCCCTGCAGCTCTTTGGGGCTGGCGCAGATGATGGTGTTCTCCCTCAGGCCTTTAAAACTTTTCAGCCAGTTCACCAGGGAGCAGATATTTCTGCTGCATTCCCATATATTCCCGGCAAGACTGATGTCATTGAGGGATATCCAAGAATCCAAAATCTCCTGACCAATAAATGTGAGCTTGTTGGAATCCAGGTTGAGGCGCTGCAGATTCGGGACACACTGGAAGACACTGGGTCCACTAAAAGCTTCGATCTCGTTGCCTGATAAATCAAGCCTTTGTAATGAGCTCCAGGTCCAGGACATGGTCTGTCCTATGACACTGATTTTATTCCACTGCAAGTACAGGTTCTGAAGGCTCACCAACCTCGGGAAAAGGGCCAGGTTGAGCTTGGAAAATTGATTGTGCTCCAGGTGAAGTTCTTTGAGTCTGATCATGCCAGCAAAGACATTCCTGGCTAAACTCCGGATCCGGTTATATCCCAGGTCCAAAAGTTCCAGGTTGCGGCAGTCCTGGAATATTCTCACCGGGATGGTTCTCAGGGAGTTCGACCTCAAATGTAAGCTCAGCAGCTTCCTCAAGCCCCGAAACTGCTCCGATCCCAGAGAATGCAGCTGATTATAGGACAGGTCCAAGTTCCGTAAATTGGTCACCGGTCTGAAGGTATTGTTGAGAAAATAGGAGATCCTGTTGGAACTCAGAATCAACTCCTTGAGTCTGCGTATTCCATTAAAAGCATTCTCATCAATATTGCTGATATGGTTATGGTCAAGGTACAGCCAGGTGAGCTGGTTGAGCCCTTTAAACTGATTGTACTTAAGTTTTTGAAGGCTGTTATAGCGAAGGGACAAACCTAAGCAGCCAGCAGATATACTTGAGGGTATCTCCTGTAATTTCTGAGATTCACAATATACCATTTTGCCTTCACACCTACAGCCCTTAGGGCATCCTCGTTCAGCAGAAGAAAGCATTGTCAGTAAGACAGTGGGGGCTATCACCAGTGCTACAGCTGATCCGCTCAGTAGCCTAATTACATTGAAACCTGAAAATAAAAACAACTTAGAAAAGTTATCCCCCCAAAAAAGAATGCGTTTCTTTTTAATCAAGCAAGAGCAGGCATGTGTTTTCTCTTTTTAAACATTTAAATCTAGATAACCACATTTCACATCACATCACCATCTCCTTGTCATCTAAAGAGAATTGCCTTCAGGGTTTTGGTGATTTTTTTTTAATAGTTAAGCAAGAAACGTGTTCACTAAGCAATTGAATGTATAGCCTTAGAGCAGAGCAAGGTAATCTCTAAAATAATTAAGGCAGAAGTAATACACAGACTAGAGGATTCTTTGTTTTTGTTTTTTTAAGGAAGGAAAGAAGAAAAATGACAAAACATACCCATCCTTTGTATTGTTCAAAGGTCGTCCTTAGGTCTTTGCTTTGGCTTAGGGGGCCACTTGCGTGACAGCCCCTGTCAGTTGCACTGTAGTGAGTCAGGGCTCGCTGACACCCAGGAAGAAAAATTGGACCCCTTGGGAGATGGACCGATTTCGGAACATTATTCTTTGCCAGCCACGCAGAACACTCCAAGAACAAATAAATCCCAACTCCGCATTTGCAGCAAAACATCGAAATCTTCCTAGGTAATAGGATCTTCATGGATATTACGTTTTTGCATCTTTACAGGTTTTTTTGGAGGGGGAGGAGGGAACGGGGGGGGGGTGAAAAAAAAAAAAAAGAATGGG